TCGTAAATAGATATGACGTTGAATCCTCAAAATTATCTTATTCTCAACTGCACATCATTCTAGATAGCTTCATTCAAATTAGTTGCATGAATTTTGTGTTTTCATTGGAGGAATTTGCATATTTTGGTGTTATAAAAGGAGTTGATCGACGAGTATGAACCATTGTCGACTATTGGTAGAGTTGGAACGAGAATGCCGAATCCGCCAGCGAAGGAAGATACTTGGGCGTTCGGACCGATCGGGTCACCTTTCCCGGAGAATCCGGTGAAGGCATTGGGTCAGCAGAATATGTACGTAGCGTTGTGGTACAAGAATGGGAAGCCAATGCATGGACGCGCTTGGAATAACGGTGGAGTTATCGAGTGCTCGTTTCCTTATAACAAATCCGAATTGACCGGTATCAAGGACCTTGGTGGACAGATTCAGGTTGATTCCAGGAATATTCTGATTGTTCAGTTATTGTTACCCTTGCCGACATTATGGTCATCTTAAATTTTGTTGTTTTCATTGTAGTGATCATCGTTGTCATATCAAGTATGACGAGCAAGCATTTAAGGTACTCCAATACAAGGGTAACCATCTATCACTTGGCTATTGGTACAATTGGATCAAGTATTCTGATCGCTTTGATGTGATGGATAAGGGTGCAGAAATGTTGAAGTGTGGAGATTCATTCCCAATTCTTTGGACTGATCGACCTGGTGGTGCACTCTTGGGCTATGTCGATAATAAGACTGAAATCGGTCAGTGAGATGACGGCATTTCATCTACACCATGCACCTTGTCAATGATTCACATATTATTTATTCACCTATCTTTTCAATGGGCGTTCTGATGCGGAAATGTATGAAAGTCATCTGCATTCAGGTTCACCTCTAATAAAACTGTATCAGCAAAGAGATTTTAAAATGAATATTATATGAAGTATATCAGTTGAGCAACTAATTTGTTACTTTTAGTGGAACTAATGAATATAATATGTGAACTGTTATTGAAGCGTTGTTCATTACAGCACGCTTTTCGCATGATGGCAAAGTTGAAGAAGTGTCTGGAACACCACTTTCGAATATGATGATCATTGTGCGAGAGCTGAAAGGAGGGCCACCGTACTGTGAGTGTACCGAATGCAAGAAAGAGCCACCGAAACCGATCGTTCGTGTCACTCTCAACGAGTGGGCTGATTTCCGCTATGGTGACAATTGGCCAGAGAGTGGAACGCCGGTTAGGGCGCTTGGGAGGTATACTCATGGACTTAATCTTCCTGTTTGATGAGTATTTCATAGCTGAATGAAAAATGAGACGCACATTTGAGACAGATCCATCATTTTTCGATCACCTTAGTTCGTACTGAACGTAAAGAAATTAATGATCATTCAGATCACTGAACACGTATCCGGATGAAAATCCAGATCAGTATGTGGCACTGTGGTATCAGTCGGGTGAACCCGTGATGGGTCGTATTTGGAATGATGGTGGTAAGATTAAAGCGTGTTTCGGATGGGGTGGACATGAGTATCGCGAGAGGATCGGTTCGATTCAGATCCTTTATGAGTTACCGGAGGCTATCCGAGGTTTTGATTACGCCTGGAAACCATTCACCGAGGCAGCGAGTTTCGGCGAAAAGGAATGGATACCGGTGCATGTGGATCATCACAAAGGTAATATCACACCAGCCGTGCTTATGATCGATGGAAAGGAAATTCTTGGAAAGGTTCGTGTCATTTGCGCATCATTTACTGAATTTTATGCAATTTATTGTGCGTAATGTCATGATGATCTGTTAAGGTTTCCTTATTGCAATCACAGAATGTGTATCTATTTCATGTGCTTAGTTTCATTATTGCGAATGTCGAGTGAAATTTCAGGCTGATATTAGAAATGAACGTGCGACTGTTGGCTACGGAGGCACCGAGAAGGTGTTCGTCGGCCCAGCGGTACACACCTGCGTGGTACTTTGTAGAAAAGCAAAGCCTGGTTGTACCATCGACTAAAGTGATCATTTCATGTTATCACAATCACTCTGTATTGTTCAAAATAAACGATCTGTTAAAATAAATTTGAAATTCAATAGCTTTGTTGAATAGAGAATAAAGTTTTTTCAGATAAAACGCTCTGAAGTGTTTTTCAAAATAAATGTGCTCTAGCAAATGCTTGTTCAAGGGGAAAGTCGATTCCCTTGTTTTCTTCTTGATTTGAGCATTGCCTTCTTCTGGCTTCCTCCAGTTAATCAGTGAAGTATCTGCAAGCAATTTCTTTGTTGAAATTGATTTTTGTTAGATAATTGATGATGTATGAAGTATTGAGAAGCATATTTGAGTTAATATAAGTCAATTTTAATTTCATAAACCATCACGAGTTAATTCAATTGAATACATATAGCCTTTATCAACTACAATAAAAAACCAATGAGTATCATACGTATGAAAACATGTTAGTATTAAATTCCTTCAATTTCATAATTACGTAATAATTTCAGTCACATTCAGTAAAACAGACAAAATAGAACTTAGTAAGCATTTCGACAATATCACAATAAACACAATCAAATATCATGAAAAACAGCAAAAATTAACGAAAACTTTGATTGAATTATACATTACTGATGAGTGGTATTGTATTCACTCGCGTTTTTAAACATAACACGAGTGAATATAATACCGCACATCAATAATTTATCAGTTATGGCTCTATAACCTCAAAATAATTTGTTGTATGCAGGCATCGACTGCTTCCAACAAAATGGTCATATATAGTAAACGTTTTGGGACAAATCAGAGGGTCAACATTGTCATACAGTTTTCATTGGTTATTAATTGTTTTTGATAAAAATTGTATGAATTCAGATGAATCAACTTGTGATGATCACTGTGCAACTAAAAGGATGTTTTGACCATATTATGAAAGTAATGTTTAATAGTAGTTATGTGTATGTGTGTTATGAAAGATGTTTAATAAATAAAAAAGAGTAACAAGAACTCGTGTTGCGTTCACACCGAAAATTTCAACAAAATAAAATATTCCGGTTATTGGAGGAGGCATATGTTCTTCGTTTGTTTGACTATTAGCTCATTAACCATTCACCAATTAACAGTGGCTAACAAGCGAGTAATCAAAGACCCGAAGAAGGCCTGAAATTAATTGAAGATCGATTCATGAAAACAACTCTTAAGTTCCGGACGTTCTGGACGGCGCCAAGATTCCCGTAAAGTTGAATCTGTGAAACATATTGGAGAATGAAACATGATGCCAGCGCTCACAGTTCGACATCACATTAATTCGTTCCGAGAGCCGAGCGATGTTCAAAAAAAATCGCTCGTTTGAATAATGGCAAAAATTTTGCGGATTCGAAAAGTTTTTGGAAAGATGCAACCGAAAAATGCCAAAAATCATTGACGCTGCGTGGAGTCGAACGTGCGACCCTCAGTGCGATGGAAAAATTTTGTGAAACAAATGCACTATTGAGAATAACTGTTCTTCTGAAAGTATTCTTTTCACCTCAGATCTATCGAAATGCCGCAATTTAGTACTTTTTGTAATCCTCTCATCAATCCAAATCGATTGGTACCAGAGTTATTGCAAAATGAGCAAAATTAATCGCACAAAACTCTGCAAAGTTGGATCTGTGAGGCGTATTGAAGTATGAAACATGATGAAAAGACTATTGAAATTCTTTCTGCCCTGAGCAAGAAAATGTTAGGAAGTAAGATGTGTACCGTTTTGTAGGCGAGATTCAGTAGTTTCCAAAAATGCAGTAAACATACTGTTTTGTATGATGGATATATTTCTATTAACAAAACCCAACGTCTTTTCCTTGCATACCAGCAAATGTACAACAACAACAGCAAAACTAGAAAAATGCGAAACATTACAGAAGAGCAAAATGCAACAACTGGAGAAAATACGATATATCTTTAAAACCCGTGTGATTCGTTAAAGTTCTTACTGAAATTCTGAATCGTATTATCTTTTCAAATCTCAGAATAGAGAGGAGTTAAATAATTCCAGTACATATGCCAATTGTGGACACAAAACATCATTACTGATCACGCGGAATGGCATAACCCTCACATCTCAACAACTGAAGTCTTCCTTCATTGCACTTCTGAGAATTACTGATACCAGTTACAAGATGATAAACAGCTTTCTACAAAATTTTTGCTCACACGTCCAAGAGAAAAAATTTTGGAAAAATTTAGCAGTATTAAGGTGACCATCTTCAAACTAACCGTGTCCTCAGGTTTGCCCAGCAACATGGTTTTTCTTCACATCGTTGGATTTTTCAGATTCTCTGAATTAAGAAAAGTATATACGTTGTCGGGTGATTTTGCTTACTCCAAGAAGCATTGATGATTTTCTGGAGCCAACTCATGTGTTTGAGCCGCTCGATCCTATACATTGTTTGCGCATTGATCAATGTACATGAAGAATTAATAATTTCAGGATCATCATTTTTATTCTAACTCTACTCTCAGGATTCCACGGCGACGCATGGCTTTTTCTCCCAATCATGAGATTCTTCAATTTTACAAAAGAACAAATGTTATGGGACGGTTTTGCTCACTGATCGGATATTGTCGATCATTTCGATACAAGCATGCAGAGATACTTTATGTTATTCATTCAGCAGTTTTTTTCAAATTGTCCTCAAGTACTTTATTGCCAGAAAGGGATTTGCTAATCAGAGCGATTCGAATGCTTAGAAATTGAATGTGTTGAACGTCTCAATTGTATCAGTCATGCTTTCATTTGCATTTCTTCTTGTTTCA